AATTCACACCAAATGCAATGTGATTTCCCTGCCTTGCAGTGCACAGCTAAGGAGTACGACTAGCTAAAATTAGCAAACGGATTTTACAATCATAGTAGCAATCCTTTATGTAGTGATACATAAATTTATTTTTTTTACTTATGCTGTTTTGCAGTATTTCAGGTTTGTCCTTCTGGTATGGCTTTAAAGGTTGAAGAAAAAGAGTATCTGAAGTTTTCATTTTTCTTTTCTAGGTAAAACAGATTATTGATAATAGAGAACCCTGCAGTTCCAAGGAGTCATAAATGCCGTATTTAGTCTTACAGGGAACAGTAGATTCAACAGAGCAATAGTGCCTACTGTAGGTCAAGAAAAGAGACAATCACAGATAGTGTGAGCTACTGTATGTAAAGCTGTGGTTTCCTGGCTTACAGGTATGGGCTGTTATGCTTTTGCTCCATGGTCACTGCCTGCAAGCTCACAAAACCCAATCTAATGTCATTTGTATTAATGTATTTTGAATCTGTAAATTAACATTATTTTCTATAATTTGCTTAAACCTGTGAGGTATTTCTGCTGTTCTTAAATATGTGAGTTAACGGCATGTGCATTTTTTTAGAACCTGGCTGTCTGTTTGTTAAGGACAAACATTGCACTGGAGTTAAATTTTTTCAATCATATTGACTTCTACTGTGTATATGGATTTAAGCTCAGAACAGGTAAGGATTTGTCTCTATGAAGAGATTGCTCTCTTAAGATGTCTCTTAAATATGAGGAACGTTTGACAGTAAGTAAATTAAATTCATTTTTTGTGACCAAGTGTTAGAATATTCTAATCCATGTGAATTCAACATTACTTAATAGAAAAGCTTGGTCTCAGCCAAGCTAAACGGTAAAACGTACTCTAATAGAAGAAAACTCCGGTGGAGGCTTTTAATAAATTGTTGATGCTCTGACTCCTGATGGTATCTAAATGTCTTTACATTTTTCATAGCACTATATATATATAAAAATGAGTGATATACTAGAACATACCACAAATTTGAGAACAGTTGGAGCAATGAGCCATCTCTGAAAGGAGCTAATATTTTCTCCTAATGTCAGAGGTCCACTCTTATGATCTCAGTTTTTCAGTTTCTCTGGTCAAAAAGAGAGGCACACAGGCTCCTCAGTCTGAAAACCATTTACACTTCCTGTAGAGCACACCCAAAAGTGAAGAAGCTTGATCTGTGACATTCCACCAGCTTTCCCTTACAGAAGGATTTCATGCCAACCATGTGGAATACCGTCCAAAGAACAGAGGTACAATGCTACGCATTTATGTTTATGTTTTTGATTATATTATGTTAGCAAGCCAGACCTGTGACCGTTTTACTCCTGAAGCCATGTTAGAAAGCAGTTTGGAGGAGCTATTAATTTCAGATATTTGTATTAAATGATGTTCACTGTGGCAAGACAATGGAGAAAAGATCTCCAAATTGCCACCTTTTGGTGTTTGCTTACGAAGGACTTCAGCTCTTCAGTCAGTGAAACTCAGGATCGAAATGACAATCTCTTGTAGGAAAAGGGAAGAGAATCTTACACTGTGGCAATGCTTCATTGAGGAAGAAAAGCAGACACAAGCAGGCAACCTAACCCCAAGTCATGGGAAAATCCAGCAATTATACCATGTTAGTGCCTCTAGACTGCTACATTGAGCAGGATACTCTACCACACTACACAGAGACTTGACATTATGTATTACTGTATACATAACAATCACAGTCTAAAAAAATCAGTATGATAAGTTTTATGTACAGACATAAGCTTGAAAGAAGTAAGTGGAAAAAAGATCCTGTGAGGTATAATCTCCTGAATTAATAAATAAATCATTACATGCATTCTTAGGCATTCAAAAAGACTTTTGGCGGTATGCTGTAAATATTTTAAGCATACCCATGAATATATGATAAATATTCACTGTTTTATTCCTGGAAAATGTAGACCATGTGCTGTTTCTTTTTTTTTAGGATTATCTCAGTGTTTTCTGACATCTTTTTCTGCTACCAATAGTGACATTGCTCCAGCAGTATTGACGATGTGTGAGCTAATTAGTCATTATGAAAAATTGCAGATGCATTAAGTGAAGTTGCGTTAGGAATGTGAGGGAAGGTTCAGGGGATTTCAGGGGTCAGAGAAGACAATAATCTACAGTAAGTGGAGAAGCAGATGGAGGAAAAGACAGAAAAGGGAGAGAGGGGAGAGCTCAATGGTATATGAATTAATATTTCAGGGATGTTTAGCAATGGAGTGGAAGAAGAGTTAGAGGGAAAAAAATATTTTCTATTGAATCTAACAAAAACTTGTTAGAGAAAACAAGCAACGTGGCTTTCGATGAATCTTTATGTTATATTCTGTTTGACTAAGTCAGTATACTGTAAATTGATTGTTGTCAAAGTCTTGTAGAAATGTTGGATAATGAAAGATGTAATAAGACATTTTTATACAATTCCTTGAAACGGGGAGAATAGACAAAAGGTACAGTAGTAGATCACAGGCAGTTAGGATGCTTAAAATACCAAAAGAGAAGGTAGTAACAGACACAGACACAGAGACAAGCACACAGTCTTAGATTGCCCACTGAATCTGGGGAGACAAGTGGAGAGGAGAGGGCTGACAGAGAGCTGACAATCCTATTAAATATTTCATAATGACCAATGAAAATCAGTCCGACTATGGCCCTGAGGGCAAACAGTTAGGAGAAAACTGGATGTCTTAACTTTGTCTGATAGATTGGAAATGTAGTCTCACTGCTGCATCAACATAAACATAAATGCTGTATGTCATTATTTCACAAAAGTTTAAGCTTTTTAGAAAAGAAAAGATACTGTATAAAAAGAGCTATATACATTTTAAGCAAACATCACCTTACTTTCTGACAGTTACACTACATGTTGTTCAACAGATTAAGTTTTGCTTGACTAATGAATCCACCATGAATAACTGTCTTAAAGCAGGTACCTGCAGTATTTACTCGTACTACAGTATATCACCAACACCTGCTAATGTTGTGAAATTAAGAAGGAGCACATTGATCTACGTACAGTAATTCAGACTATCGATCTCATTATCAAGGGATATATTTGTCCCTATTTTATATTTTGGAAAGTTTGTTCAAACTCTAATGAAGACGGGGAAGAGGCATGCTTCAGATAGTGAGCTTTATTGGGGTAACTCACCTGGCCGAGGAAACTAACAATCTGTCTGTAAGGACAGGGCTGTCAACCCCCCCCTAAAGAAATGAGAAAGTCCCCTTACTGCCAATGCAAACCAAAGAGAGGATATGAATGAGAATTAGCCTATGAAAAGAAAGCTTTGAAGGAGGGTAAAAAAGGGGATTGGATGAGAGAAAGAGAAAATGGGAGCAGAGGAAGGGGTGGGGTGTAGTCTCGGGGGTCCAGTTGTTATAGAAGCATAGATTCATCAGAAGTTATTAGCATAGTTGAAGAAGTGAATTTATTGCTTTATTTATTTAACTGGTGAAATTTGTTCCCCAGTTAAAAACACTAAAACTGTGAAAATTACAAAACAAGGCAAACTGCTTTTCTCATTTCTCATCGGCTTTTCTCGCCAACTCTTGGTTTTAGCAGTCTCACAAGTAGAGTTTAGCTTAACACTAATCCCAGAAACTTGCATTCCAGTCCAGTTTACGAACTGATATACAGTGCCTTCCAATAGGATTCAGACCCTACGTATTATTTTTATAATTTTGTGAAATTCCAAACTGATGCATGCAAAAATTGATCATTTATTCAAAACCTAAATGATGAAACTAATGACTTCTAAGGGCAAGATAAGTCACAGTCAATGGAACAGTTCCCTTGTTTAGACTAAAGCCTTCAGATTTCCCAGCCCCATGGATTGTGGCGGGATGTGTCTAGAAGGCAAGTCCCAGGGATCTAAGCAGATCTTGCTTCTCACTCTGATAATGGAGGGTTTAATGAGCCCAATTTGAACTCTGTTAGCTGCGGTGCTCAGAGTCTGATACTCTGGGAGGACTTGGCTCTGGTGCTAAGCTCTGCAGCCCACAGATATGATGATTCCAATTACAAGCAGGGCGGTCAGTTTCGCTCCAGTCCCTTACCCATTCCTTGGAGATAAATTCCTAGTCCCCATCCAGCTGTGAGGACATCCAATAATTCCTGAGATGGCTTTTTTCTTTAGATGTCAGCAGCTTGCCTTTCAAATGAACTTTGCACTGACTTCTTGCTGTTGTCTTCATGTAAAGAGAACAGCCAAGCATTCTGCAGTAGCATGTTTGCATTCTTATTTATGTATTGTTTTGGCCTATTTGTTTGTTGATCTGTAACCACCTTCAGGCATCTGGAGATTTGTATCCAAACCTTGGTTCATTTATAATTAAGGCTAGTTATTGGCAGAGGACTGCAATCAAACTAATTCATATAAATATTTAATCTGACTAGTGAGGATCCAGGGAATCCTGAATGTTCACATGGTGAATGAAGCAGGTTCAGTTTCATGCATCAGAAAGATGTGAAGGCCAAATTGTCTGAGTCATATATCATATATAAGAAAAAATGTGTTCACTAATGACTGATGAAATTTGTCTTCCCTTCTTCCTTGAGCAAAGAAAAAGGATAATCTATATATTTTCTGACAAGCATATTATTTACTGCATATTCTTGAAAACAGTCCTAATAGTATAACTTAACAAACTTATTTATTTTAGAATTATTTTAACCCTCAAATACTGTACACATATCATCATTTATTTGTTTCACTTTTTACTTTTTTGTAATATGTTACAAAAGCATACTAAGGATTTTGCTATTCTAAATATACCACTTATAAATACCTCCCTTGGTAGCATCAGTTAAGAGTGTGCCATCTTCCTACAAGCTCTGTTTCTAAAGCCCACACACTTTCCTCATTTGTTTCTGCCTTGTTGTTGGCACCACCTGCATAACATAATGCCTGTCAGACTGTCATGGTGACCCACACCATCCTCTTTCTCTCTGCAGGACAGCGATGAGTGTGAAGTGGACAGGAACAAGTGCTGTACCCTCTGTAACATGTTCTTTACATCTGCCATTGTGGCCCAGTCCCACTACCAGGGAAAGACTCATGCTAAGAGGGTGCGGCTGGTCCTTGGAGAGCCACCCAACATGCCCAGCACCACAGGTACAACAGGATGCATAAGACAGGAGTGGTATTAGCACTCTAAATGGTAGATACGGTACTTCTGCTGGCATGTTACCTCAGGCCTCTTCCTCTCCAATCTCTGCCAATAAAATGCTAACCTTAAAGTGATTTTTACATCAGCTGTGGCACAACTACGCCGATGAAAAAGCAGCATGAGTCTGAGAGGTTTTCTCCCACAGCACCATTGTCAGACACCCTCCATTTAACTCCTGTCTGCAGCTGCGGTGGGCTATGCAGACTTCCCCATTTGGGATATAAATATGCCATTACTGCCTTCCCTGTGCGAATATTATGACAGCGAGCCATTAAGAAATGATGAAAAGGACCTTTAAACAATTCAATAGAGATGATAAGTGAAGTTGAAATAATAGCCTTGCCCAAAAGAGAGAATCCCTACAGGCGCACACAAGCAACACACAAATTTCCTCACCCATTCAACACACACACACTCACCAACCTCACTTATAAACTTTAGTTATTTCTACAGTCTTGACACAATTTCTCTGCAACTCAATGTCATAGGAGCACAGTAAAACAGAAGAGGAAGCAAGATACACATTGACTAATTCTTACACTTGTCTTTCCAATGATTTCATCTTGCTCCCTGCATTTTCCTTTGCAGAGTAGTTTTGTATTCTGAAACTAGCGGAATATCAGCATTCATCTTTATTATTGATATGGTGGGAATAATGTGGGACTTGGGTTTGAAAGTTGTCTTGAACAGTTAGAAAAACTGCATTGCAGTGAGCCAAGAGCCAAGAACAGTGTGCTGTATACGTATGTAACTACATTGTGCTACTGTACAGTATATTAGATAATGGGCACTCTGATTGAGTAATAGGATGCTAGAATACATCTAGCTTAAACACATAAATTAGTACATTGCATAAAAGGGATATTGGAAGGATTATTTGTACAGTAGCATCTATCTCAGTTCTCTTTTAGACAATTAAAAATCATGGACTTAATTCAAAACCAACAGATCCTACGTTTAAAATATTTTCAGCGCTGTGAATAAAGGACCATATGCTTCACTTTTCAAATCCCAGCTTGATGTTTATTTTAACAGCATTGTTTTTTCACAACATGTTGCCATACTGAAAGCGTGTTTCTACAGTCTTCCTTAAATGTCTCACGAGTTAGTGTCGTCTTATTAAGAGCACATCATAGGCAGAGGAAGAGCACTAGTGAATCAGGACGTAGTGCTACGGGGTGTAGTTACTTTACTACAGTGCTATTGATTTCTGTGCAGAGGTGATGTGGGAAGGGTCAATATCTTGCTCACTGGCCTCTGTTTATCACAGTTTAGTAACAAACACCAGAATATTTATTAGACATGTAGTCAGGCATTAGAGGTAAGATTAGACTTTGGTTTGAAATAGCTTTTTTACAGGGAATCTTATACCAATGCATACTCAAGGCAACTGAATATCTTAACAATAAAAAAAATAGAACAATACTTAAGAGAACAAAAAAATAAAGACAAATAGTTTGTGTTTCAGATACTTTATAAAACATCTCTAAAACTTAAACATACTGCAGTATCAGCTTAGTAAAATTAATGTTCATTTAATTTGAGATCCCATTAAAGTAATTAATTACTTGTTCAGTAATCTGGACCTGGAATATAAAGAAAAAAATATTTGGAAATTTCTCTTCATTTAAAATTACATATAATGAGTAGAATTGTATAAAATGTTCCATATAGAAGGTACCATTGACTGTAGAGCACTGATTTCTGTTTCCCATAGTAACAGCAGCTGCAAAGGATAATTATTTAATTGTTGTTTCCATTAGTGAATGGATTGGGTTTCCACTTCATGTGTTTATGATGTCACATTTATTTGCATGTTGTGGAGAAGTGTTTAAGGGACAAATATCCTTCTGATTGTGGTGAGCTGAAGAAATTCATTGTATATACTGTAATACTGTAAGAGGGCAAAAAATGCTGCACAAAAATCTACTATACAGTACATGTCAGAAAAACATCACATTTAATTAATAAGACAACTACAGAACAAAACATTTTTAATTGAGGGCCTTTAATCAGGATCATATTTTACTTTATCTCAGTTTTGTGTGTTATTTCTTCATTAAAGTTGAACTTTTCTTGTGATTCTAGGATAGCACATTGGTGGAAATAGTTTTACAAAAGTACCCACGCTTGTACCTAATATAAAAATATTATATATAAATATAAGTGATACCTCCTTTTATAACCCAGGAAAATAGGAAGCCCTCTACTGCACTTCCAAAGAGCAGATTGTCATGTTAATTTTTTTGTGGTCTTATATATAACTGCAAAATTGTGAATAAATGTGATCCATGTTTTTTTTTTTCTGGAATACACTTATTTATAACATTGCTAGTTTAACTTACAATATGACATTTCAGATTTTTATGCAAGGAACATTATGCAAAATATAAGCCTTCCTATTGTATGATGTTTTTTGTTCCTATTCATTGGGTGTTTCACCTCATCACCTGTGCCTAATTAAATGTCTCTCTAATTAAGTGATTTATTTACTTAAGTGCATCCCAGACAGCCATTATTGATCAATTAATCAAAATAATGCTAAAACTACTATTTTTCTAAATACATATGTGCATAGATAGTATGATAAATGTCTTTTGATGCTCAGCATATCATTTCAATATGGAGTTTTAATTTTCAGAAGTGCAAAACAAAAGGCATTGCAGTCCCATTGCTAGTATAGAATTGTGGGGAAAAAGGAGCCTATCCTGACAAGCAAAAAGTGGAAGGCAGGATACACCCTGGGCAGGACACAAGTCCACCACAGGGCACACACAAACACGAACACGCACAACATGGACAGCTTTCCCAGACCTAACCTAACCTAACGGTATGTTTTTGCACTGTCGAAGGAAACTGTAGCACCTGGAGAAAACCAACACAAACATGGGGAGAACATACAAACTCCACACAGATAGCACCCAGGTCCAGAATTGAATCCAGGGTCCCAGAGCTGCAAGGCAGCAATACTAACAACTGTGCCACAGTGCTACACCCCTATAGAATTATTTTATACAATTTCTATTATAACATTGTGAGGATCATAACATGCTCTTACTGAAGTAGAAGGTGAAGATGAAGTTCCAGAGAAGGTGATGAATTGGGTTTGAAAATTATTGGACAGGAAAGAGGTATCTAATCAAGCGGACAAGCATGTGTCTGCATTGTTGCCTGCTTGACTGCATCAGGTGATGAGAAGTCAAATGATCTAATTGAGGGGAAAATGGACTTATATTCTCATTAATAAGTCATTTCTTAGAGGTCAAAGAGGAAGACAAATGCTTTTTCTTCTCTAACAGCTGAAAAATCAAGGTCTAATATAAACCATTTGTACTTGAAAAGAACATTGCTAGAGTCAAATGCCTAGGCAAAGTAAGCACCATCAGAGATCAAACTTGAACTAAATTAAACCTATCCCTGATACCTCCTTAAATGAATCATCTTTTTAACCCTAATCATATCCCTTACTGTAGCACCTCACTAAAACCTTGAAAATGTGAAACTTAGGAATCAGATGGAAGGTCCCTTAGATGAGTAATCTGAGCATTGTTCAGATCCTCAGTACAGATATACCTACATGAATTACTGTATACAGTCCCTCATTTAGCAATATAAATAATACCTGTTTCTTCTCCACCTAGAAAAAAAAATGCAACTTTAAAATGTATTTATAAATACCACTATCTTAAAATACATTATTAAAGTCTATAGTTTATTAAACAAAAAAAACATTATGTTTCTATTTGTGCTGATGCAAGAAAGCCTGTTAAAGGTAACCTTGGAAAACCTACAAATTATTCCAATTCTTAAAGATAGAAGTGTACAATACATTGCTCACCTTGACCTTTCATTTCTTTGAGGTCCACTAAGCTGCTAAGCCTCTAGTATCTGATATACTCAGGCAATCTCATCTTCAAACTCATCTTTCAGACCATCATAAATGAAATTTCTGTCATTGAAAAGCACTTATATCCAAAGGTCAAATTAATACTTCCCTCTCCTCCCTAGGGTAGGGTAGGCTAGTGAAGCCCACATTCTTTCCATAGTTTCTGTCTAAGCAGAATCTTTATGGCTTTTATTTTCACTGTGAGGCTAACCCTAACCCTAACCCTAACCTTAACCCTAACCTATATAATGCCTTGGCTCTTTACTGCCCTCACTGTTTTATCCCATACAAGTGCTCTTTTCCTCTCAAAGAAATTATTGTACTCTTTTGTTTGTGCTTATTAAATAGGAAACAGTTTTATTTTCCTCTTTGATAACTTTTCTAGTCTCTGCTGCATGCCCTGAGACAATGTAAAATACAAAATTAAGGCATAGCTAACTATGGGAAAAGTGTGGCAGAGACCTGGGAAAACATGGTACCTTGTGGGTCCATTCATTTAGTTATAAAACAGTAGTCAGTGGAAGTTTCTGCTTGTAAACCGTTTGACCAGAAACCTCAACAGGGGAGCTGTATTATTTCCATTCAAAGGTTTTTCATACTGGAGTGACAGTGACAGAAATAAAATCCAATACTTGAATCATGAACTCTATGGCTTATTACCTTCCTGCTGGTCCAGATTATACCCTTTAAAAGAGAGTTTTTTTCCAGAATACAGAAAGCATAGGCACTGGCATTTAATGGAGGTTCTCAGGGATTATAGGTTGTACTATAGGAATTTCCAAACAGACCGTGACATCATCTTGAGCAACAAAATACGAAAAATAAAAGAAGACTCTGCACCGTTATGCAATCTTAAGCTTTAATTCTTCATAATACTGACTTTGAACACACGAAGAGAAATTTACTTTACCAGTGGTGTGGTGGATGGACTACAGTGATCTTCTAAACCCTTGTTTGCTTCTCCAGTGAGCCCTGCAAAATAAGACCACAATGTCCCTCCTTCCAGGTCTGGGTGAATGAGTAGTGCAGTAGCTCTCTGTGGGTCAGTCCAGTACTGCCAGACTCCAGTTGAGCTGTGAAAGGTGGTGGCATGTGTCCTATTTAGTTCATACCATGGAAACCCAGAACAATCTCAGCTTTTGAAGTCTGAACCTTTTAAGAACAAAATGAGCAAGTCTATTTTATGAGCAGTTTGGGCCTTAATTTAAAACACACTATAATTCACAGTAATTGCTTGTTAGAAAAAAAAAACACTATTTTAAATATACTGTTCGCACAATTTTTTTTCCTAGTATATCAAAAAAGATAAGAAGAACTGTAAAGCCAATTAGCAGTAATCATTAACCTAATTTTCAAAACCTGTATTAATTTTCATGTTTATAATTCCTTTCCTGGGTGTTTTTCAGACTCCATCCCCAGTACACCACAGCCTACAGACCCAACACCGCCCCCAACGTGGCCCCTGGCCACTGACAGCAAAGCAGGGAAGACCTGCTGCCTGTGCGGCGCCTGGTTCAACAACCCACTGATGGCACAGCAGCACTACGAGGGCAAGAAGCACAAGAGGAACGCTGCACGGGCCCGACTCCTCGAACAGCTAGCAGGAAGCCTGGATGCCACTGAAACAACAGGTCAGCGAAGAAAAAAATAAAGTGTGTGTGTCAGGAATAGCAATTACCTCTACCATCAATGTCCTGCTCTGAATTGCTCTTTGTATTCAATTCAATTTATTTTTATATAGCGCCTTTCACAACAGGGTTGCCCCAAGGCGCTTAACAATGCAAGTGACCATACATTTTGTCAAAACAGAATAGAAGACCAGAAGACAACAGAGGAGAGGAACTAAAACTCCTTAGTAAGGAGAAAAAAAAAACCTCTTATGTAATTAAAAAAAGGAAATGAATGAGGGTATTAATCCATCCATCATATCTTCTGTGTGTTTGCACTCCATGCAGATCTCTGTAGACCAGTAAATTCCTCCAAAACGATAGCTATATCCATGATGTCCCTCTTGGATCCATGGCAGTGATGCAGCATCCAGCTCAGATGGTGCCCAGCCCAGGCGCCATCCAGACATGTGGGGAGGAGAATAAGATAGTTTGGTCAGAACAGTTGTATCAACCTGGTGGGCCAACATAGAGACACACAATGGCATGTACAGCAGCACCAGCAGCAATGATTGCAGCAGGCTATAATGTAAGGTGTGAGTAGGCTAGGCTGAAGCAATAGGTCTTCAGTCTGGATTTGAATACTGAGATTGACTCGGCATCCCGAATATGGGGTGGCAGACTGTTCCATAAGCTAGGAGCCCTGTAACTAAAGGCTTTACCACCCACTGTTATTTTATTAATTCATGGAATATGAAGAAGACCTACATTCTGTGATCTAAGCAGGCGACTTGAATGGTAAACATTAATAAGTTCCATTAGATAGACAGGTGCCTGACCTCTGAGAGCCATGTAAGTAAGTAGAAGGATTTTGAAGTCAGCTCAAGAGAGCTTAGTATGGGGGTTATATGGTCATACTTTCTGCTCCTAGTAACAATTCTAGCTGCAGCATTCTGAATTCACTGTAAGATGTGGAAAGAGTGGTGGGTGCTCCCGGATAGTAGGGCATTGCAGTAGTCTAACCTGCTGTATACAAGAGCATGTATCAATTTCTCTGTGTCTTCATTGGAGAGAAACTGCCTTACTGTAGTTTCGCAATATTTCTTAACTCTAGGAAGCATGTTTTAGATACTGTTTTAACATGAGAGTTAAATGAGAGCCTTGTGTCTAATATGACGCCTAGGTTACGTGCAGAATCTCAGAGGCAAATTTTTAAATCCTCTGAGTTAAGTGCTGAAGTTATAGAAGTCCTATCAGCATTGTTGCCTCCAAACAACAGAACCTCCATTTTATCAGAGTTGAGTAACAAAACGTTTTCACATATAAGTCTTTACTTCATCAATGCAATTAACTAAAGTGATAATAGAAGAGTTGTCGTTTGGTGTAAACGAAATGTATATTTGAGTATGCATCCTATCATTGGCTTTTCCTTGCACTGTCCAAGGCAGAAGAGTACAGCCCTGAGCGTGTTGTAGTTACCTCACCAAAAGTTCATTTTCAGTCACTTGGTGTGAGTTTCCATTATTCTGATATGTAACGTTGTTTTACCTGCTTAATTAATTTTAAATTGAAATAATGGTCATTCCTCTTCTTAATGTACTGTAGCTGTTCTTATTGTGGATTGGGATATGGTTGATCGCCTGCATACAGAATCTCCCTCAGATGAATGGTGTGATAGTTTCTCTTGGCTGGTGCCGATTCTGTTTTTTTTAGGTGAGCAGTAACCGACCACAAGAGTGTACAGTAGGTACTGCTCTCACAGATTAGAAGGTAAAAAGAATAAACTATGAAACTGTATATTAATATATGTGAGTGCTGCTTTCATGCCATTTCATGTGTTTTTTGCCTTGTGATATTTTCCATATGCCATGTATGGTATTAAACCATTTCTTCTATCAAAGTTAAGTTAAAGATAAAAGTTGAATATGAGTGTGAATGAAAGAATAATAAGCAATTAGCATCTCTCCTTGAAATTAGTCAAACCTTCCTGAATACGATCACCTTATTACTACAATTGTAGAACGGAGGAACCCAGAGAAGCATGAAATTGCACGCATTCAGAGCTGTCATGTCTTAAATACTTGTATTTTACTATCACGTGATAAAGTTGAATATATTTTAATTATATTCTTTTGACCTATTATGAGTGTAGCATGCACTGAGGCAACTAAACCAACCGCTTTATTTTTCTGAACGTACAAAGATATCAGTTCTTGAACATATATTGAACTAGCCAAGGTTCAATAAATTGTTTCTCTGCCTCCTTCTTGGATACGTGGCATCTATTCACATTCAGAAAGTCTTTGTCACTGACATGACTATGTATTAGCATACATTCAGAAGGATAATAGGCACATGCATGGCATACAGGTATAGCAGTGTGAGAATAATCACGGCAGGCGTCATCTCAGTTCAGAATGTCTTGACTCATCAAGAGAACACTCTGAGCATCCTTCTCCGGCTGCTCCCAGAACACAAGGCCTGCTGGAATATTGGTGGAGATAGTGGAGTGGGAGGAGGGATAACACATTTCATGTTTTCTTTTGTGCTTTTTCAAGCTTGTAACAAGTCATACAGTATGCATGAAACCCAGCATCTTAGCCAGTATAGATTATGTTCACCACTCAGTCTAAAGGTGTTTTGAGCAACAAAAATAGAAAGCATGCAGAACTCCTTGCTGCTCCCTGCAGGATGAAATTAAACAGGATAGAGCTCAGGGCAGAGAAGACACTAGAAAAAACTCCCCTGCAGATCACAGACAGAAGTGAGAGAGCAAGAAAGAGGTGTCTGAGTAATTATATCTCTTTCTCTTTAAGCTATCGATTTTCTTCCACTTGTAATGCTGAAGCCATCTATGGTTCGGACAGTGTTTGTGGGTGTTAGAAAAACTGATAATATTCCACCTCATGATGTGCCCTATCATTAATATACAAAATCAATAATTGTACTCAAAGTTTTAGAAATCTACCATGGATGGGACATTGTGCAGGTAGGCATGGATGCTTCCTAGAAAGTTTTATTTCAGTTTCATCAATGCAAAAAAACGTTTTTTTCTTAATAGGACATGTGGCCTCTATTTTGTGCTACAAATCTCTGCCTTAATGTTTGGATTTCAGGTGGTATTGCTGCAAATGCCTTTTGTAGCTTCATCTGTGCTGAAAGGCTCTCATTACAAATGTGTCAACAGCTGCCTGTGTCACCTGTTTCTTCACATCACCTTGGCACCTTGTTTCTGGAACAAAGAGGATGAATGCAGTGGAGACAGTCACATCAGGGCCACTTTCACACACTGTAATCTCGGGAAAGTTTTTTTTGCTCCCTTCCTCTCTCTGAAATTCCTTCTCCTCTAGCTACACATTGAATGTCTCTAAATCTTCTGTCAGAGTCATATTCCCTAGCTGCCAGCGGGGAGGCTGGATCAGCCTACTCTCTTTTTTCAACCACTGAAATTAACATAACACCACGGGAAATCTCCTCCCTGCCTCCATCCTGTGCTCTCCAAGGACCACAGGAGTTCCATAGATACTCCACTGAACATCCATCACCCTCATTAATCCCCCGCGTTGGGCAGGTAAAATATTCTTCTCAGGCTCTCAGGGACAATCTTGCTTCCTCTCAGGATACATGCCACAGGCATAGATGTTTGGAGAGATACAGAGCTGTAAGCAAGACAGCAGTTATAGCAAACAGTGTGAATCAGAAAAACTATCATTTCAATGCAATTTAGTTTATATTACTAATCCTTCACTGGCAGGGGCTTCACAGGGATGTACTATACAAGGTTCCTTAAGTGACTGGGACTTTGGCCCTCAAGCCACAGAAGGTAGTTTGTATTCTGTTTATAAACCGTTTGATGGAGAGGAGCAGAGTTGGATTTCATCTGTGCTAAAAGCAGTAGATAAAACTTAGTCTGTATTTAATACAAATTTAGGCTATGGAATTGCTGGCTGAAGATTGCAATGGACAATGCTGCATTAAAAAGAGGCTTTTTATTTACAGTAGTTACACCTACAGTTTAGCGCTTGAGAGACAGGAGAAGAGGCAGGCATAGTGGTAGGCTGCAGTCATCATTACTTATCAAACTGAGTTACTGGCTTTTTTATTTTACTGGGTCTCAAAGTCACAGTAGCATTTAAAGGATAAAGGGGACAGAAAAGTTACTACTCTTGACGTCTGACTCATTCTTCCTTCTCCAGCTCTGTAAAAACAAGAAGTATAAATATCACGTAAACTGATTTCCCACAAGAAAGCAAAAGGTCCTGCAAAACAATGTCAATGCACGCAAGGCTGATTCGTTTATCTTTGAAGACCTTTAACTTAGTTTTTTCAGGGGACTGAAATTGCAGAAGCACCAAATTATTCGCTAAACAAGGACAGGCCTGTGCTATCCATTTAGAAGCACATTAAAACAATTGGCGTACAAGGTCTCTGAGGGACAATCATCTGCTGAGAAAAAAAAAACACGCTCCTCACCATCTACAGTAATTGTCTCACAGTGTTATTGGCGGCATGGTGAGATATGAGACTAGAGAGATTACAAGGAGTTTTTCCCAGCAGGGGACAAGCAATAATGAGGAGTTCATCTGTATGCAAGATAGCGCCAGGAGACAGCCTGGTCTCCACTCTGTGAGGGAAAAGGTGAGTTGAAGAGACAAGCTGGGAAGACAAGAAAGAGAACGAAAGAACACAGAGGGAAAAGTGAAGGAGAAGGTTCATTTGAGAAGGAGATTGGAACATTGTATTTCCCAGGAAATCGAATAGCTGGAGCGAGGATTGATATCCTTGGATTAGACCAACTTTGCTGAACTCTTATTCATATGTTTCGGATGAGCCTCGTTGTCATTTGGGATTCAAATTGTGATATTGAAAGATGCCTGGGGCCACAGCGTCCTTAGGGTTTTATCTCAGCTGAGCTCCTCAGTACGTAATGAACTTATATTATTGATCTACTTGGGCAAAGCTTTTCAAAGATTGTTTATTGGTCAGTGATTATTTGGAGACATAGAAGATCTGCTGGATTGTGGCGTTTGAGGTGCACTTGCAAGGAGATATTTTATTCTGTCAAGATGTGTGTCGGGCTGCTTAATGTTTCGGTGGTGGCCTATGTGTGTGCTGAACACTCCAGTACATGTTAATTATGTGAATATAGAACAGCTTGTTAAAATGTGACTTTCACTTTTAGATATACTGTAGGTGTAATCTAATTTGCTCTATTAAAGTTTTCCAACAGATAAAGAAGAAAACAGGCCAGCGTGAATCAAAATTAATTATACACTGTCAGGTATATTCACCACAACTGTGCCTTACATTACATTCTGGAGCAATCCCCATATACAGCAGCAACCACACTCTGGCATTGAAGGACTTAGTTGGTGTGTAGTGAATGATTTCGTTTTATGGGAATGAAATTAAATATAAAATTATCTTTGATGAAGCCATGATTGGGCCCTCTAGAGCTTGAGACTTTTCATGCCAGTTTACTCACTCCTCTCTATCCTCTCTGTGCTTTCTTCAGCAACCAGGACTGTAAATCTGACTGCATAATCCTGAAGAGCTGCAGTAGGTTTTGCATGATGTTGTACAGTAAATCAGGTACCCAGATCTTAGTTGAAAAGAAAGCTCTCATTTATAAAACAGCAATTTCAATGTGATGCAAATCTAAATTTGTTTTTCTTTTCACAAGATATTCCACATCTAGTCACACTGACTTTGTATAAATAACTACCTTCGCTATTTTGATAATCTGTTTTGTTCTAGGATTCAAAGGTTTTAGGACACTCTGCTTTTTATAGTACTATTCCTAATTCTATTGGAGTAAATGCTTGAAATGCAAATCTAGGGAATATAAAATACAGGGGAAATCAAGGAAATACTTAAATTTATATTGTGCATGGAGAAATTGTGCCTTTTTTAATCTTTGGCCTTTGAAATGATATTAAGGACATATTACAGAACGTTATAGTTATTGTGGCGAGTAGTGGTTAGGGCTCTAGACTTGGAACTGGTAGTGAGTGCAAACCCCAGGTGAGACTCTGCTGTTGTACCCTTGAGGACATTTTGTCACTCTAATTGCTCTGATAATATACTTAGCTGCATAAATGGGAGTGAATGAAAGTCACTTTGGATAAAGGCATCAGCCAAATAAATTGGTATGAAATAATAAATTAGCTGTGGATATACAGTACATGTTTATGATGCATTTTTCTGCACATTATGCAGAGTGGAGGGCACTGTTTACTGTAGGTTGTCAGACATCAACCCCTCTGTGCATTTCTAAAGTTTTGCACCCAGAGCTATGGGTGAGCACTTTACCAAACTAGTTACAGTACTTCAGTTTTCAGAGTTTTATCTACTGTCAAAACATGAAAGGAAATCCCAAGAAACAAGACCTAAAAGCTCCGTATTCTGTATTTTCTAATCAACTAATTTCTAATTAGTCAATTGAATTGCTATTGAGTTGGAACTGGATGATATCTGATCTCCAGACATGTTACATTTTAAGGAGTTGCCTGGACTGATGAGCCGATCAGGTCATTAGAACTGAAACAAACCTTACCTTAATCCAACACAGACATAATTCTTTAATCTGCACTACACAACATTCATCAGTGTACATTTTATGAGAAGTTCTACTACCGCCCTGCAAACTACATGCAAGTGAAAAGCCTTTGGCATTTGCTGCATTTTAATTAACAGGGATTAAATATGACTATTCTATCTTGAAAGATTTGGTTTATTAACATCACACCATGGCTGCTGAGGGTCTGAAACACTGAAAATGTTCATAAAATAAATAAGCAACATGGCAATTAATCATTGTTTTATACACCCTCAAAGCAATCTGGAAAGCCAGCTTCCAACAGATTGTGGCCTAGCCCTTTAATCTATCATCCAGCTGTTTTATCCTCATTTTCAATTCAATTTCCAGAAAAAAACATGATTCTAATTAATACACTCTCATCATCTGAAAGGAAAGAAAGGTAATATCAGCTGGAAAGTCTTTTTGTCATGAGCACTCAATACAGTTATAAAGAATCCCTGGTGCTCAGGCATTTTTTCTTCTCAATTCAACGCACACACATACAGTAGTTGTTTTTTCTTTTTATCTTTATCTATATCTTTTTATCTTGATGTCTTTTAAGAACTGGAAACTTTTGGCAGTATTGTCACTATATCATTAACAATAGCAGTTAAAGTTTATCTTAGTGCTGTGTGCATTATGTCTATAGGGTACATGTGTATCTACAACAGCTTCCAAATTAATCATACTCATCTGGTAACTACCAGGCCTCAATTCAGTGGTTTTGTCAGAACCTGAATTACAAAGAAACAATTAAACAAAAAAGGGACAGCTAGCTTAAAAGTTTGGCATTGACACATCTGACTGAGTAAATGTCAGTCCCGGACAAGGTCAGGCTTCTTTGGAACAGAAATTGAAACCACAGAAAACTGAATGGTTTAAATATTACTAAATGCAGACATACAATTTCTCATAGTAGTTTTGGGTCTGAAGTTTTGAGCTGGTTATATCTGGTGTTCTACAGGGCTTAATACTGGGTTCTTTGCTATTTAGTATGTAAATGTTTCTGCTTGTCTAAATACTAACATACTGTAACATTGTCTGAATTGCCATTGGGTAGAAAAGTATTGGCTGGCAGACTGTTCACGTTAAACCAAGGCAGCTGTTGCAGGACTGTCTTATTGGATGACAAAAAAGGTTTTGCATCTTAAATATATTAAGACTGAGGTGATGTTATGAGGTTTCTCCCACAAAACCAATGCTGTAACTTTGTGAACTGACCACACTGTTTTTAATTTTCAATCCAAAGTGAAGATTTAGTGTAGATTTTGTTCTTTGATCATGGGTATAAGATGATGGAAATATAAAGGTTATAATGAAAATAAAAATCTGTATATACAGTGAGGCCACACTGAGATGTCTGAACAGCACATTTTAGACACATTTAAACATAAATGTAAAGTATACATTCAACCCACAGACTTGTTCATTGTCATTGTTCTCACTGTTTCTCAGATTACCAATTATGTAATTATTATTTTCGGGTTTTCACAATTTGAAAAGAGTTCATTAAGGCTATTATAAATGCAAACGGAAAAGATCCCAGAAATTAGTAGTCTTGCATGTCAGATATGGTACCATACAATTACTACATATGAAACCCTTTCTGTTAGTATGTTTATACAAAATGTGTGGTTCCCTTATATTCTGTTAAGTCATATATACTGTATATACTCTAGGGTAAAATGTAAACAGATTTTACTCTGTATGAATGGGAAATTGTGTGTGTGTGGGGGCAGATGTCTGTGAATGATATTCGTTGCTCTTCATACACCATCAGTCTATTTTGGGACCATGGCGGTTCTGTACCACCTGCAAACCCTTTAATTAGCACACATCTGTTTCCTGAATCACGAGCGCATTGGAGAGTAATTGGCTTCTATCCATCCTTACAAAATCCTTGAAAAAATGTCCAGTGCCAAACACTCTAAGGGGCAGTGTCATTAGTTCTCCTTCCTTCCAAGGTCCGCTGACTGGGACAGTTCCATACCCTCCAGATGTAAAGTACATCCGTGTCTTTAAAGCACCCCTAACCCATGAGCTAACATTTAGATATGTGATGTGGTGTATTTTGTTGGGGGGGGGGGTTATTATTATTAATTGACAAGAAAGAACAGAGACACACAAATATGCATACAAATAGAGGAAAAAAAGACAGCCACTGACACAGAAAAAGTACAAAAATACTAATATTATTAAAATAATATTTTAATAAAAAGTATTAATAATAAATACCTTTAGAAGGCTTATAAATGAAGCCAAGGTAAGGAAAATAAATTAAAACAGAAAAGATTTGTCAATTTTTACCACATAAGCACAGATAATCATATATAGAGAAATCCCTTTAACAGAAATAACATTTGTAGTCAGTCCCACTTGTCTGCTCCAGTGAGCGCTAGCAGCCAGTGCCCCATCTCCTTATTCAGCACAGATCCCTGGCAGAAGCCCACGCTCCCTACGATAAGGAAGCTGGACCACTGGCTCCTCCCCTTGCTCAGGTCCCGCGTGCACACACACACACGTCCTGGCCCCGGCTGGAGAGTCACTCCGATGTGGTGTATTTAATATATTTGTGGTATATTGGGATCAACCTAAACTTCATTCTTGTATTTAAAAAAAAAACATTTACTTTCCTATAAATCTTGTACTTAAATCTATGTGTACCACAGGATAAATGTTGTCCAGTGGCTGTAAAAAATTAAGTATTCATGTTCATTTGTCACAGACATACCTCACAACTGAGTTAAATAATGAGTGAGGATCTGGAAGGACAGAGCGCAGAATGACTTGCTTTTAGTTTTTATTTCTTAAGTCCAACTTATTCTATCATGAAACGTTACAGTGCTTTATGATATTAAGTGTGGGTATGATTGTATTTGTATATTCAATTTGGATGAGTTTTGATGTATACAAGTCTTTTTGAAATAACCATTTTTAACTATTAATATTTTTATTGCCATCTCCAGTTAATTGTGGCGACTGTATCTCTGTTAAGCACTCGTGTGGAAGTAAATGCTTGCTCTTGTTTTTCCGACCTGTACAATCGTTGTTAGCATGTCTGTGTGCTTTCCCCCAGCTCTGCGGAGCAGCTACTCGTGCAGCGTGTGCAACGTGATTCTGAACTCCATTGAGCAGTACCACGCACACCTCCAGGGCTCAAAGCACCAGAACAAGTAAGTGAGCTTTGCTAACAGATGACCTCCCAGCTGCACAAGGGGAAGCTTGGCTGATGAAAGAAAGCAACTACGCTTTACCACATTATCTTAAAGTTGTGAATTGTTGTTTTCTTCCAGTGTTGTTATATAGTCTCCATGTTTATTTTTTCTTTCATTAAAGCAATGGCCTCTTTTAATCACATATGAATCAGACATTGCAATTCCAAGTGCAAATACAAAATATTAATCATTATGCAGAGTGTCACAGTTTCCTTGTCTTTATGAATGTTTATTGTGATATACTGTGCTAAAGCATACTCAACCACTGGGAAATGAGTGTACACTGTGGGAACTAAAAGTAAGTAGTATAGAATTTGTAACATACAACTTGTAATGCACTGATGCATCTAAAAATTGTTTTGAACAAGGGTGATCTGAAGCAGTTGGCGATAAATGCAGTATAAATGCCTTCTGACACCTTGAGGCACTTGAGGTAAAATTAACAACACTCACCTACATTTCATTCACAGTACAATTTGTCCGCAAATGCATTTCCTGCATTCTGAGTGTCTGCGTGATCCTGAGTTCCAGCCGTCAGATTGCAGTGACGTTAGAACACAGGCTGCCATCTGCAATAGGAGTTTTGTTCTAGAACAGAAAATGGAGAAGAAGGCGAGAGGTGGGGGAGAATGGGCTCCTGCTGTGAATAATCCTCATGGGTACCTTCTGAGAGGCAGAGGGGTGGGGCACATTTTCACTTTAAATTTCAGGATTTTATATAGGGCAACGGGCAACTCAGAATTTACTAGCTGTCTGGAAGCAAGAATTCTGTGTCAGCTAACTACAAGTATTTAATTACAAACCACCCGTTGTAATTGTGCTTCACAAACAAGCAAATGATTTACTGACAGCTGGGGGAGGGGCATCTGACACCAGAATCGCCACTGTCAGCTGCTCCTGGTTATGATTAATTGCAGTTAGTGCAAACAACTGTGCTAATCATCTTCATGAGCCACAGAAGGATAGCAATGGGAAATAAACACATGCCCAAGCCAAACAAAGCTATGAACAGCACTGCCTTTACTTTACAAGAACTCAGACATTAAAACATACATTCAGACACAAAAATCGCTCATCTCGGCTTTCTGTCTCCGTCAAATTGTAGCTATAGGCAGCCAATCGAATGGTAGTATTTCCTGCATGCAATGAGCACAAAGTTCATTTTTTTTTAGAAGAAAAACACAATAACCCTTCATACACCCCGTTGTTAAGATTTTATATAATTTTATTATTGAATATTAGTGTATAGGAAACATCACTAGCTTTAATTTGAGGGGAGCTGAAGGAGAGAGTGGGATTCCATGAAGCAATGGTTTTCTGCAATTTCCCTCACGGGATCAATAAAGTATCTTTCTATCATCTACTGTTTCCAAAAAGCTTTAAATTTGCTTCCAAGTTTAAATTTGATTTCTTTTCCAGCAATAGTTAATAAGGAGCACATATTGCTAATGCAAGAAATTGTATAGGGCTAATAAAGAAACATTATCATTAACATTATCATTATCTATTTGATTATTTAACCATGACCTTTTTACTTTGTTTGAACATTATTGTTGAATAAATAAGGCATATTTTTACTGATTCCTGCTGAAATATAACCGCACCATCGATATTCAGAAAGCCGGTTATTTCACCAATCAAAATACTGCTCGAAATATTGTAAGAAAGAAAACTGAAAACAGAACACCCCAAATAATATAGAATCATATATTCCTATTTATGCTTGACAACAAAATAATCGCTGCTTAACACACAGTAACAGCTTGTCACAGAAAGGATCGTTTTCTTTTTAAATGAATGACAGCAGCTCAAACTGACTTTAGGATACTGATAGGACTGGCATATCAACACCAAATAAAACAAAAGCTGGTGCCTAGAAGCTCTACACTGCCTTGTAGAGCTGTTTGTGCTGTTCGGATTCCTGAGGTAATCAGTACAGCTTCATTACTCAAAAAGCAGTGCTTAGTGAAGGGGAAAATGTGGGTAGGAAAGTAATGGCTGGCAGATTGTTTTCATCATGTAAACCCATGTTCAGTGAAGACATGATCACAATGCGAACAAATGAATTACTGTATCTCACCTGCACTCCCCCAGCAGATGGGGTCCCTCACATTTATTCAATGTGACAAAGTGCAGGGGGGACGTAGTTTATATTAGAGAAACGAACACTAGATTAGGATGTTGTGCTTTTCTGTTGTGCTGGTTCTGTCTCTGGCTACTGTCTGTCCCGTATAATTGAAATTGAAATAGAAAATAATAAAATAATTGGATGAAGATATGTGAATTTACATCCTTATTCTGAATTAATGACACCATAAAAAAATCTGTGTTTTGCCCAGTATTCAGGAATGGTGTATGATCAAGTGTTCTGCTACAGTTGCAGCAAATTATTCCTTCCATTGCAGTAACAAGAGGCCTGATGCAACAACTGCTTGTATTTTATATATATTATAATAAAATTACTTTATATGGTTTTAGAAGTCTCTATTTTAGATTCTGCTGAGCTGGCATGGAAGATAAGACAGTCAGCTTAATGATTAATTTTCATTGACTTTAGTTTCCATACAAGTATGTACAGCGCCTTGAAAAAGTATTAATTTGGCTGAATGATATATGTACATTTTTTTAAATAATATTTTATTTCAGCTGTTGTTGAACACTGTTATAGGTGAAAGAAGTTTATTTCTAATCTAATTATTACATTTAAATGATTAAAATTCAAAATGATTCAAGCAGCAATGTTTATTATTTTGTCTATTATTCAAAAAATATTTTTTCACTCCATTGTTCAAAATATTAACTAAATACTGTATGCATTACAGTACTTAATGCATTGAAAATGCATTCGCTAAAACAATTTTTGGCATGTACAGTAAATATTTAATGCTTTATTAAAAGTACAGAATATTTTCTTCATGCATTGCTTTAAGTTAAATGTTGCACTTCCTGAAGCATGTCAGACAATCGTAAGTTATTCTGACTGCTCCTAACCTGCAAAGAGGTTGAAGGGCACTCTTTATGTAAAAGACTATGCAAATCTCCATATAATTCAATATTTAGTTACTTTGATGTTCTGTGACACAAAGCTTTGCAGCTGACATTTATCAGAGCTTTCTTCCTAAAGCAGGACACACAATGTGGCTGTCAAAAATTGGCATCTCAAATTTGTGTGATATTCAATATTTAAAGATGTTTAAAATAAATACAAGCACAAAATCACAAGCCACGTTTTGAAAGAGAACCTACTGATTTTTCATCTCCAAGTTGCCCAGCAACATGTTGCATTGGCAGGAAAAACCATCACAGTCCAGCAGATGTTATCCTGCACTGTGATAACAACCACACATTGTGATTCAATGACTGTAGACGACTCATTAGGAAAAGTGAGATAGTGGCCAGTCAGTGTAGCTTTCAATGAAGGCTGTTAGCCTAATCAGAAATTAGATTCTGAGATTCTCACATAAAATTATTAAAAGGGAGAGATGAAAGCAGAGGAAAATCATGCTATAATGATAAGCGTAGCTTTATTAATTGTCACAAATGCACATTAAAATAAGTTACTGCAATTACACCTCTTTTCACTTTCCCCTAAATTGCAATTATATCATTTCCCTTAAAGTGAATTTCTTAATATAAATGAGAAATGTTTTGCAGTGCTCGATAAAACAAGAAGCAGCATTCAGCCTTGGGGTACTCCTGCTAATATAAGAGGAGAAATTGGTTTGAAAGGACAGAAAATGTAATGACAGTAGTGGAAAACAAGAACTTTAAATTCATTATGAATTTCACTGGACTATGGCAGTAACGTGGTTATATGCCTAATGACATTTTTAACATTTCTGAATAAAATCCAGCATTAAAAACATTAAGTTCCCCTCCCTTATTCTCTTTTAAAAGCTTTAAAAGTATTTAGATCTTCAATTTCTATTACTTTTATTTCCTTGGGTCAGCACAATTTGACATTCTAAGAAGGAATTTATTTTGGAGTGTTTTTATGTGCAGTTAACCTTCACAATGTCAGACTTTATCACCTTTATCCTATGTTTTCTTGAGGCAAAGACTTCTGAAACTCAGAGGTTGTATTTATGCCTTTTCGAATGTTTCTGACAGTTATTTTTGAGCTGTCCAATCTGGCAGTATTTAGTTTAGTTTTGCACAAAGAACCATAATGACAGCCATACTGTAACAATGAGAATTATCCACTTTTAAGTCCTGCAAAAATGCAGAATTACACCTCCAAATAAAGCAAGATACTTCACTTCCACTGGTACAAAACTGTCACTGAGCCACACTCTCTTAGAGCTATTCTGTGCTAGTAAGTGTTTTGGAATTATTGGTTTGGCAGCACAATAATGCTGCATAAAAACACCCTGTTGTAAATAGATGAGCATTAAATATTGCACTATTCTCCAAACTGTCGTCCATTACAGACATACTGTAGTAAAAGTGAAGGCAGTTTATATTAATCTCTTTCTCTATAATAAATTCCTTTAGTCACCCTGTGTTACTTTAAAATAGGGGACTTAAAAGGACTATGCTAACATTGCAATCACTTTCCATTTGACAGAGATTTCTTCTAGTATTTCTTTGTATTTTTTTGTTTTGGTGAATTGCATTCATTCACAGCTATAAAAAAATAGTTCATGCTTTAAAACCTGACCTCAAACATCTTTGCTTTCCCTCTTGTGAAAGCAGTCCCATGAAAAATGTTCAGTTAATGTACTGTGATATGGATTAAAGTTTAATTTTTTTTTTCAGTCCCCTTGAAGTATTATCAAAGTGAGACTTATTAAAGGCACACGAAATGGGCAGAGTTGGCATGGCAACTGCACAGAGCCGGGCAGATCCATTTCTAGGGGACATCAGGGAGTCAGAAAACAGACTCAGTCGAGACCTGACTGAGCAGCCCCTTCTGGGCTGGACCCCTCCAGGTCCTTCCAGCTGGCCAGGCAGGTTGT